CCTTGTTGGATCAGGAGCCCCGCCGTATGGGCCTCAATCCCGGCGGCGAGGAGTTGGAGCAGTATGTTCGGGAGGAGCTGCTCCGTCATTACAAACACAGATGGAGAGGAGGGGAGATAGATCCACCTTAGGGAGGTTGGTGTAGCAGACCTTGGTCTCTCAGACAGCAATGGCCACTGGCGAAGCCAAGGCTAATGTCGATTGTGTCCAGTCATGCCTGAGAGAAGGTGGTTGCAGCTGCTTTTATTTGATTGTAGTGCAAGTTCAAGTGGTAAACGATTGGTGCTTTGCATTGCTCGAGGGGTAGCGTGTTCAAGTGGCCCCTGGACAGCCGCGAGGATTCGGACGCACGAATGGAAGTCGGTCAAGGGTCTGCAGGTCAGCGAGTCCGAAACATTTGCCTGTGAAGATGCATGGTGTTGGGACAGTGGGTATTTAACGAAGAAACCGAACAGCATCGTTAGCTGTCCACCGCAGATACTCACGTACCGTAAACATAATCGTAATAGTGTTTCTTTGCTCCGAATGAGACTATCAGAGGGGTGCATATAAACTTTGTCGAAAAGTATGTACCATCCAGATATAAAAAGGTGCTACCAAGGCTCCGGACAACACACGAGTCTTGAAAGCGTCACTTATTTCACCTCATGCTTAGACGCTAATTTCTATCCAGTATTAAATAAGAACGGAGGCCGAAATTGTGTCTTTACAACTCGACACTTCGAAGACTATGCATTTAGTCTTTTATGGTTTTTAAAGACAACTATTCTTTTGTGTTGAGGGAATATGACCACTGCAAATGCACCTATTCATCGGAATTTTCAAGAAAATACCTACATTCAGGTGGATTCAGAAGGTGCAAAGACTAAGTGCGTAATCCAGAATGTGCGGAACGCCTGTGTGTAGGACCTACTATAATCGGATGGTTACGCTTTGTCACATTTTCTTCATCTACGCACATACTAAAACACGTCTTGGGTTTGAGGACGTGAAGGAATGGGACGAGCGGTCAATGAAAAGCCTTAAAGTCCTAGTCTCCGGTCTCCGCCAACTTATCAAGTACAAGAGGGCTTTGGTTGGCACCGAAACCTATTAGGCATAACGAAGAAGTTATGGCTTACAGCAAAGGAAAAGTAATGTATTGAACAAATTACCTCCTCTGTTTCGTCATCTAGTTGCATATCCGGATCCGTCTCCTTGACGAGGTCTGAAAGTGATTTGGCCGTGAAGACCATTGACTGAGAGGCATCCGAGTTTGCATGAACAGACTAAAGGCAGAAATGCGAGTTAAGCTGCTGAACTTCTACCTAAAAGCAAGAATAAGAGAATTTAAGCGTGCATTCTGAACAGGGGGAATGCTTCCCAAAACACAAACTGCCCTCATCTTTCTGCAGCAGGTGGAAAAGTCAATTGCTTAGGCAGCGAATAGTAGAAGGCTTCGTTACTACTAATGAGAAGGTGAAGTGGGTAGCCAGTCAAGGATATAATGGCTGCTGCTTCAAACTCCACCTTGGGCGCATGTACGCCAATGCACTTCAGCGGGGTTGGTGACGGTCAATAAGCCGGAAAAGGGCCGTTACCGTCTGCCTTCCTTTTTGTCAGTAACATTCTGAAGAGCCAGATCACACGAATGCAACTGCCCCCTTTGACTTGGGAAGCTGATGCATCATGCAAAGGACTTGAATCTCTACTGGGATGGGCTTCGTTAGAACGCAATACATCCGGCTTGGTGCCCGGTAGGTCAAGTGGAAGGTTTAATCAGTGCATACAGCCTCACTCGAACGAGGTACAAAGCGTACCCAACTCTACCCCGGGAAAATTTAGTCAACAATTGTCACTGTGTGGGCACTGTTTCTCTTGCGACAAAGGAAATCTCGGTAAGATGCAACCAGCCCGTTACTCTAACAGCTGGCCCGATGGTGCAACCAGATACAGACAATACCGGAATCGTCTTCAGCGAAGGGTAGCTGCTAAATAAGGCAATCAGGTTTGACAATTAGGCAACTGCACAATGAAATATAATCACAAGGGCTGATGACGGCATTGAGATAAATCGCTATTAAATAACTTTGCTTGCTATCATAGCCTTGTAGTTAGGTTCATAGGCTAAAACGCTAGAGCAGACAACCAAGAAAAGGTTATGCGAACGGCTGTTGGGGACCCACCTGCACTCATAAGTTCCCCTCCACTTAGGAGGGAGCGAATCATACACTCTGGCAATGCGAGTTTCCAAATGTCTGTGTCCGGTTATAAATAATGATAAACGATTTTTTGCCAAAAGATTTATTCCAGAGTCAAGAAAAAACTCCCATCTCTCCTTTGAAAACTTAGATTTAATCAAGAAATGTATAACCACGAGGAAGTTAAACGTCATTATAAGAACACAGATGGCATGTAGTTAATCTATAGTCCTCCGATGTAAAGGGTTCAGTAGCAAAAAATCCACTAACTAGTTAACAAGGTGGATTAGTAAACATGTTTATCGTCAACTCCGCATGGTTGTATGAAACGTCAGTATTTAGGTGGATACTTTAAAATGAGATTGGGGCTACTTCAAATAGTGACTGAATAATGCGTTTCTGGGGTGAGGAGTTCTCAAACCCACGGCGTCAACTTGCCTGCCAGCCTCAAGTGGGTAAAATGGAGAAAGCGATTGCGTTGATGTCTAGACGGTTCTTTTACATACAAGACCGGTCTGTTTAGGCAGAATGTAGCTGCCTCCACTGTAGCTAGTAGGCACTTACACAGTGATATGTTGTAA